AAGAAAAACAAGTGATAAATTGGACCTCATTAAAATTAAGAACTATTATTCTTTCAAAGAAGACACCGTTAAGAGAATGAAAAGAAAAACCACAGAATGGGGAAAAGTATTTGTAAATGACATATATGGTAAATAATTTATATTCCAAATATATAAAACGATCAAAACTCAGTAATAAGCAAAACAGCCCAATATTTTTTAAAATAGGCAAAAATTGTGAATAGACACTTCCCCAAAGAAGACATAGGGATGGCAAATAACCACATGAAAACAAGGTTCGACATCGTTACTCCTTAGGGAAATGCAAATTAAAATCACAATGAGATAAAATGAGGTATTCTGTCCCCCACAAAGACTTGTACAGATATTTCCACAGCAACATTAGTTGTAATAGCCAAAAGCTGGAAAAAATACAAATGCCATCAACAGGTAAAAGAATCAACAAGAAGCGGTATACCCATACAGCGAAATACTACCCAGCAATTAAAAGGAATGAACTACTGATACATGCAACAATGTGGAGGAGTCTCAAAGTAATTATAATGAGTTTAAAAGTCAGGCCAAAAATGCATAATGCTTAATTTTATTTATTTAAAATTCTAGAAAAAGCAAACTAATCTGTAGTGACAGAAAGCAGAGCGGTGGTTCACTAAGGATGAAATGCATGGGAGAGGTGGGAGGGGCAGGAGGGACAATATCAAAGGATCATAAGGAAACGTTGGGAAGGGATGGATGCTCCGTGACGCCCTGTCCTATCGACTGCCCAAGGGCTGAGGAGTGCAGGTGCCACTGGGGACTGGTGGGCAGCTCTGCCTGCAGCCCCAGTGCAGGATCCACTAGGTGAAGCCAGCTGGGCTCCTGAGTCTGGTGAGGACTTGGGGAACTTTTACGTCCAGCTAAGGGATTGTAAACGCACCAATCAGCACTCTGTGTCTAGCTCAGGGTTTGTAAATACACCAATTGGTACTCTGTTTCTAGCTAACCTAGAGGGGACTTGGAGAACTTTTATGTCTAACTGGAGGATTGTAAATGTACCAATCAGCGCTCTGTCAAAACGAACCAATCAGTAACATGTGGTGGGGCCAGATACGGGAATAAAAGTAGGCTGCCCCAGCCAGGCAGCGGCAACCCGCTGGGTCCCCTTCCACACTGTGGAAAGCTTTGTTCTTTTGCTCTTTGCAATAAATCTTCCTGCTGCTCACTCTTTGGGACCACGCCGCCTTTATGAGCTGTAACAGTCCCTGTAAAGGTCTGCAGCTTCACTCCTGAAGCCAGCGAAACCACGAACCCACCAGGAAGAACGAAAAACTCCAGACATGCCGCCTGTAAGAGCTGTGACACTCACGGCGAAGGTTTGCAGCTTCACTCCTGTCAGCAAGACCAGGAACCTACCAGGAGGAAGAAGCTCCAGGCACATCTGAACTTCTGAGGAAACTAACTCCGGACACACCGTCTTTAAGAACTGTAACACTCACCGCAAGGGTCCGCGGGTCATTCTGGAAGTCAGCCAGACCAGGAATCCACTAATTCCAGACACAGTGGCGCAGGCCTGTAGTCCCAGCTCCTCATAGGCTGAGGTGGGAGAATTACTTGAACCCGAGAGGCAGAGGTTGCCGTGAGCCAAGATGGCGCCACTGCACTCCAGCCTGGGCAACGGAACGAAACTTCATCTCAAAAAAAAAAAAAGAGGGGGAGAGGGAACTCATGCAGGGAGACCTGTGAGCCAAGACATGGGGGATGGGAACAAGGGGGAGGAACAGAACGGGAGTCCTTCACCGGGGCGGGGTCAGGGCAGGAAGCCGTGAGCGGAGAGGGAGCCCCCAGGTGGCTGTGCTGGGAACTGCTGTATTCACTAGGCAGGGAAGATGACAAGCTCTGGGAGTCCTGGAAAGGGATTTGATTTGCGGTGTTGGGACAGAGAAATGAAGCCATCAGCTGTAGAGCTGCCACATCCCGGTGGGACATTCCACAGGGAGCTGGATCCTGGGATCTGGATGACAAAGGAGAGATGTGGCTGCAGAGCAGGATCTAGGGCTTCCCTGGGAAGAGTATGTTGGCCCAGTAGGGGTAGGGGTGGGGTTGGTGGTAGAGAAAAAGAGAGACGCAGGATCTCTCAGCCCCAGGAGAGCATGTGAGAATGGAGACAGCATCAAGGTAGGGGCAAAGTAGGGTGACAGCCAGGCCCACGAAATCCCCAGAGTTCTTACAGGAGCATCTCAGGGCAAGGACCCAGAGCATTGTGTGCCAAGGACTGGTCACCAGGCCTGAAAAGGGAGACACCCTTGGAAGGAAGGAGATGTGCTGGTCCCTACAAGTCTCTGGCATATACATCTCCTCACTGAGTGCTCACTACTCCTTTGTGAGATCAGTGTAATCATCCGCATTGCACAGACAAGAAAACTGAAAATCAGAGATGTTAGGAGACTTCTCCCAAGGCCACAAAGCTTGTATCTCATCCACATCTGGGGGCTCATGGGCTCTTTTTAGGCACTAGGGTGACCAGAATAAGGTTCACAGGGGCCACCAAGCACCCACTGATGACCTCCAAGGTTACTGTGCACAAGCACATCTGAGGCAGTTAGCATGAAGGAGGGAGCGCAGCTAATTGCCCGTACAAATTAACTCTAATGTGGTCGGCATCGACATACTTATCTTTCTTTAATTACATTAATCAATTAATGAAGAAGATGGCTTCCTCTTATTATGATTTCCAAGGCCCATATGTTCTCGGGAGTCCAGCTGGAGTTGGGCTTCTTCCCTGTCCCTGGCTTGAATAGGGAACTGAGTGGAATCAACAGGAGAAATTGTCCCTCAGGTCTTCTCCGCCCTGAAGCTGATCTTCAGGATGAGAGAGGTAAGAAAACAGAAGCAATGATCCCCGGAAGTGGTAACCAGTGGAAGAGGCCTAAACTCCTTGACTCAGCATTCAAGGCCCTTCTCCAACATTGTTCATTGTTCCTTTGACCCAGGTTTATCAGCCTGGGCAGACTAATTTTCTCTAAGCTGCCCTTGCATCCTCCAGCCTCCAATGCATTCATGCCATTTCCCCTACCAGGAAGACCACCTCCCATCAGTCAGGGTCCAGGTCCGCCCAATGGGTTTGTCACCTCCTCATGAGAACCCTATAGAAGGCCCACCCTGCAATAATCTCCTTCACTTGTTAATTTTTTCGGCTTTACTTAGGTATAATTGACAAATTAAAATTGCATACTTTTAAGGTATATAACTGGATGTTTGATATACATATGCATTATGACATGATTACCATAATCAAGCTAATTACCATACCCGTCACCTCACTTGGTTACCATTTTCTTTTCTTTTTTTTCTCTTTTACGTATGCGTGTGTGGTGAGAACACTCAAGATCTACCCTGCCAGCAAGTTTCAAATATGCAATATATAGCATTGGTCACTATAGTCTCCTGGCTGTACATTAACTCTCCAGAACTTGTTCATCTGGCATAACTGAGACTTGGAACCCCTTAACCAACATCTACCCCCAGCCCCTGGGAGCCACCATTCTACTCTGCTTCTGTGTGTTCGGCTATTTTAGATTCCACATATTAGCGAAATCCTACAGTGTTTGCCTTTCTGTGTCTGACATTTCACTTAGCATAGTGTCTTCCGGGTTCATTCATGTTGTTGGGAATGACAAGATTTTCTTCTTTTATAAGGCTGAATAATAACTCACATTATTACTCCCATTTTCTTTATCCATTTATCTATTGACAGACATTTAGATTGTTTTCATATCTTAACTACTGTGAATATTGGTACAGCCATAATGGAAGACAGTATCGAGGGTCCTCAAAACATTAAAAATAGAGCTACCATATGATCCAGTAATCCCACTTCTGGGTGTATATCCAAAGGAAACAAAATCAGTATTGCAAAGAAATATCCACACTTCCATTCATTCATTTTTCATTTTACAAACATTTACAGTCCCTCCTCTTGTGTAACTTCTAAACCTTCGGGACAGACAGACACTAAACAGACAAATAATTACATAGACTGCTGGTTCTCAGTCCACTAGAATCACCAGGGGAGCTTTTAAAAATATGCTGCTCATGCGGGCACAGTGGCTCACACCTGTAATCCCAGCAATTTGGGAGGCCAGGGCGGGTGGATCACTTGAGGCCAAGAGTTCTAAACCAGCCTGGCCGATGTGGAAAAATCCCATCTCTACTAAAAATACAAAAATTAGCCAGGCGTGATGGTGCAAGCCTGTAGTCCCTGCTACTCGGAGGCTTGAACCCAGGAGGCAGAGGTTGCAGTGAGCCGAGATCACACCACTGCACTCCAGCCTGAGTGACAGAGCAAGGCTCTTTCTCAAAACACACACACACACACACACACACACACACATGCGCGCACGCACAAGCATGATACTCAAGCTTCATCCCAGAGAAAGCAGAATCTCTGAGGGTGCAAGCCAGGCATCACTAATTTTTTTAATTGCCCAGGTAATACTAGTGTGCAGTATGAGGGAATAAAGGAGGGTAATTGTAAGGAGGGTAATCTGCAATGCTGCCACCCCGGGCTTGCTTTCCCCAGAGGTTTTGAAAAGTATGATCAGTCAATTGTGTTTTTTGTAATTATTTATTTAAATAAGATAAACTTACATTAGCCACCCTGTCTTCCATGTATAAGGAAGTCACAAATCACTTAGATCAGTGCTTCTCGAACTGTAGCAAACATCAGAATCACCTGGAGGGCTTGTTGAACCAGATCACTGGGCCCCACTTTGAGCCCAGGAATTTGCATTTCTTACAAATTCCCAGGTGACACTGATGCTGCTGGTCTGGGAACTCCACTTTGAGAAACACTGAATTGGAGCAAGGTTTAAAGAAATTCAAGTGGTTGAGCACCTTCCTCCCTCACTAAACATCTGCTGTTCACATACTCTGTTTAACCTAACTCTGCTGCTCTCTCGCAGGCTGATGTAGAAAGCCTTCGGATCCCCTTTGTTACGGGAAGAAGCTGTGAAAAATCTTACCTCTCCATCATACATGCGCCTGTTTTCACTGTAGGATGTTTCACAACCACGGTGCTTCAGAGCAGGCAACTTCTCTTCCTTAACTGCCAATTTCACATCACAGCAGTGGCTGTCAGCATCAGCATCACCTGGGCACTTGTTAGACATGCAGATTCCTGGCCTACTCCAGGCCCACTTAATCAGAAACTCTGAAAGTGAAGCCCAGCAGTCTGTGAACTAGGAAATCACACAGGTGATTCTGATGAACCCTCAACGATGAGAACCACTGGCCTAGAGAAAATGTGTTAATTGACCCTTCGAATTCTTCAGGATCCTATTCACTCTGATTATTTGTATCATTTATTTCATAAAAATAATAATTCACTTCTATTTGTCAGGTCTTCCTATGTGCCAGGGACTGTGCTAAGTACTTTACATTAAAGATCTTATTTAAACCTTGGAACAACCCAATATTCATTATACTATTCTATAGATAAGGAAACTAGAGCTTGGAGAGGTTGAGAGTTCAGCCCACCTGTTAAGTGGCAAACCCAGGAAAACACTGCTCTCTGCCCCACCCTAGTCCATCTTTTCCAAACATTGAGCATTGTATGAAGTCTGTTCTCACACTACTATAAAGAACTACTTGAGACGGGGTAATTTATGAAGAAAAGAGGTTTAATTGACCCAGTTCTGTAGGTTGTACAGGAAGTGTGGCTGGGAGACCTCAGGAAACACAATCATGGCCAAAGGTGAAGGGAAGCAAACACGTCTTACCACAACGGAGCAAGAGAAAGAGAGTGCAGGGGGAGGTGCTACACACGTTTAAACAACCAGATCTTATGAGAACTCACTCACTATCACAAGAACAGCAAGGGGGAAATCCACCCGCATGATCCAATCTCTTCCCACCAGGTACCTCCGCCAACTTTGGGAATTACAATTCGACATGAGAGTTGGGTGGGGACACAGAGCCAAACCATATCAGGCACTTATCACACCCATATGACTGTGGTTTATACCTCCATTGTAGTGCTTTCCCTCAATCATAAGATTTTTTTAATACCTCACTACTTTTTTCTACCCAAATACCTGCTTTTTAAAACTAGTGTTCATTTTCTTAAAAAGACTAATTGTTGAAATGCTTTAAAATCATCTGTTTGCTGCCCTAACTAACATCATGCATTTTTCTTTTATGAAAATTGTGAAACTCAGTTAAATGTTTAAAATGCAAAGAGCAGACACACAAGTTTCCTTACTGGAATGAAATTTAAATGGAAAGTGGAACTTCACAGGTACAACTACCTTAAAGTCCATTTTGCTTAAAAGAGTGGAACTCAAGAGCCAGAAGCCATGACTTGCACTCGAAGTCCCAGCTACTGGGGAGGCTGAGACAGGAGGATTGCTTGAGACCAGCTCAAAGCCTCAGTGAACCATGATCATACCACTGCACCCCAGCCTGGGTGACAAAAAAAAGAATGGAACTCAAAGTGAAAAGTATGTGACCTCGAGTCCAAACAGTCATTCTCCAATACATTGGAAGCCTATTACATCTAAAGGCGTTTTAATCAGCCAGTCAACCCGTATCTACCATGTGGATGAAGTGGTCAACATGACTCACCTGGAAATGTGCCAAGGGATAGAGATTATTCCAAGACATGGCAATAACTACCTGGTGTCTTCAGCAGTAGGAACGTGCAACTACTATGTGTTACAGTCACAGACAGCCTACGGTGACCAACAGGCCCCAGTTTGCCCGTGACTGTCCCAGTTTTGACACTGAAAGTTCCGAGTCCCAGAAAACAGTTGGCCGCCCTAACAGCACCATGCTTGGCTCACATCAAGGTGCATGAGAGGGAGTTTCTGTTTCCCTTTGACCAGCCGGGGCCTGGCTCTAGGGCTCCCGTGGGGCAGGACAATCTGGCCAGGATCAGTGTCAAAGAACTGCCTAGCAGAAGGAATATGTCTTAGTTCCAGCTGCTCTAACAAAATACCGTAGTCTGAGTGGGTTTAAACAATAAGCATTTATTTCTCACATTGCTGGAGGCTAGAAATCCGGTATCTCTCTTGCACCCTCAAAGAGAGAGCTCTGGTGTCTTCATCCCTTCATAAGGCGGAATGAATCCCAGTAGGATATTTTTCTCATGTCCTAACTACTGCCCTAAAGCCCTGCCTCTTAATACCATCACATTGAAGATTTAGTCTTCAACATAGAAATTTGGGGGGACCCATTCAGTCCATAGCAGGGTACTTGGGGACAGAAGGGAAACTAGTCTGAGCAGTGACCACATCTCCTCCCAACTGCCCTCCCCTCCCCAAGGTAAAACTCCAGATGATTCTGGGGCAGGAGCTCCACCCCCAGGTACCTACCTCTTCCTCCAATAGAAACAAAGCGCAGGCCAGTCCTCACGGATGGGAGCAGGGGGACATCCACAGAGGACAGAGACAGCTGAAGACTCCACTCCTGGCTTCCTCTCGGCTCTCCTGTGCCACGGAAGGTAGGGAAGGCGAGAGAAAATGTCCATCTAGCCCTAAAACCCTGGGCCTCCTGAGCTGGCTGGGCCACCCTGCAGCCCACAATGGGTCCACAAGAGCAGGGGCTTGGCAGCCAAGACGATGGCTGATAAGGCCACCCACGACAGGTGGGTGCTTAATGCACATCTAGACAATGTGTAAGTGCTCAGTGAATCTGAGCTGTTTTTAAGCAGCTATTGCCCTCTGGGGCCCAGAACATACTGCAGAATGGGCTCATCCTCCCTCCCATCCACCTCTCCTGTCCCCATTGCAGCCCCACCTCCTCCACTGCTGTGTGGCCGAGAGTTACCCTGAGGATCAGTTTTCTCACCTACAAAGTAGAAAGAATAATAGTCCCAACCTCACAGAGTCTCCGTGGGGAGTAAATGAAACAGGGTGTGTAGTAGCCCACTTTGGACGTAGTAAAGGCTCAGTGAGATCATCATTGTCATTCTTCTTATCTCCAAGGGCACCCGGGGGTTGGGGAGGCACTGAGGGAGGAAGAGGAGGGGAGTGTCCCACATCCTTCCTCAGCCTCGAAGCAGGAGGCCTGAGCTCCGTATCCTATTTGTTCTTTCCACAATACCAGTGCCGACTTCTCCATTAGGCACTGTAGCAACGCAGGGTCCACAACATTTTCCATACCCACAGAATATTCTCATGTCCTTCAAAATCAGGGAAAACAGAAACTTTTAGGTTAGACAAATATGTTTAATTTTCTTCTTTCATGAGAGACAAATAGAATATTTACGACCCATGAAAATCTATTCTTGTAGGAGGGGCCCATGAAGGCAGACGCGTCTAGGGTCACAAAAGTCACAATGCAGCCCTGCTCAAAAGACAGAAATAAAAACCTGTGCCTGGGCCAGCGGCGGTGGCTCATGCCTGTAATCCCAGCACTTTGGGAGGCCAAGGCAGGCAGATTACTTGAGGTCAGGAGTTTGAGAATAGCCTGGACAACATGGTGAAACCCCGTCTCTACTAAAAATACTAAAATTAGCCGGGCGTGGTGGTGGGTGCCTGTCCTCCCAGCTACGCAGGAGGTTGAGGCACGAGAATCACTTGAACCCAGGAGGCAGAGGTTGCAGTGAGCCGAGATCACATCACTATATTCCAGTCTGGGCAATACAGCGAGACTCAGTCTCAAAAAAAAAAAATTCCTGTGCCTCTCTTTTTTCCATCCCCACTGCACTCGTCCTAACTCAACCCAAGTCCACCTCTCACATAGACAATGACCAGAGCCTCCCAGCAGGTCTCCCAGCCTGTCTCTGAAATCCTTGTATCTGTCCTCCACAGAGCAGCCAGCACGATCTGTCGAAATCACAAATCTGACCTTGTCTCCTCCCTCCTGAAAACCTGCTGTGCCTCCGGATTGCCCTCAAGACAAAAGTCCAAACTCCCCTGCAAGGCACACAAGTCCCCAGAGGGCAGTCAGCTGCACTCTCCTCCACACACTCAGCCTTCCTGCTTTCACGCCTCCACGCCTTTGCACTTGCAGCGCCGTCTACCCAGAACACCCTTTCCCCCTGCAAACTCCTAGCCATCCTTCAAAGCCCAGCTCCTCTCAGAGAAATTGCACTCATTTGTCATATTGTGATTTTGAGTGAATGTCACCTCAAGGTCACGGACTATGTTTTCTTCATTTTCATCCCCCCAGCCACCTCCCCGGTGCCGAGCTTACAGCGACTGTCTGGCGGTGTTTACTGTTCCCCTGAGGTCATGGTCAGCATCTGGGTGCTCCTCTAACCCACTGCTCGCTGCCCCGGCACCGCTGCAGTCCTGTGATTTCCAAATGCCAAGGGAAGCTCTGTGGTCCTGTCCACCTTTTCCTTGTCTGGTAGGCTGGGAGTGCAGCCCCTCTGGGACGCACAGACAGCGGAGTAGCCCTGAATGGGTCCACCTTTCACCAACAACACCCACCTCAAATAAAAGCTATCAACTTGCCAGGATTGGAGAGGAAGCTTCAAGTCCCCAAGAAAAACCCAAAGGTTATGTTCAGAGACTTGGCCAGAACTGAGCCCTGTTCAGCCCTTGTCTGTGTATGACAGTGTGCCTCTCTGTGCCTCACTTTCTCCATCTCATAAGAGTGAATTGGTCTAAAGCTTCGAAAGAAAGGGTTCTTCCAACTCTGGCTGCACAGCCTCTTCCAGGGCCTCCCGTCAGCCCAGACCCAGTTACCAACACAGAGGGAAGAGTGCCACCTACTGACTCCCAGCCTCCCTCCACTACACTGAGCCACCAAAGGAGTCAGCGGAATGTGCAAAGCTCAAAGTGAGCAGTTGTCTGTATTCTCCCTTTGCAGAGCCGCAGCAAACTCCCCTTTCATGGGGCTGAGGGGCACCCCTCCAGCCTGGACAGAGAGCTTTAACTGCACTGCTCACACCCGCTGTCCTCTGCTCCGAGCCCCAAGAAAGCCAGGCGCCCCCATGCCATCCTGCCCCTGTGCCAGGCCCATCAGCAGGGTAGCCCCCAGCTGTCAGCCCCCCTCACACTGGGCCGGCGGCTGGAGGTGGAGAACAATGATCCCTATTGTGACTAAATTTCCCCCTGAAGATCTCATTCAAGATGTTAGAGTGAGCGATCATAAAAGGAATTAATAGTTGATTCGCTGTATAATTTCCTAGTTCAATATACTTTAGTGCAGCGACTAAATGAGGCGTCCCGGCCGTTCGGTGGGGCCAGATAGCGACTTTATCACTGGGATCTCAGGCTGAGGAATAAAAGCAATTCTTCTGAAGTAATTGCGTCTAATTAAAAGAAACATTTAAAAAGTGTAACCAAAAGGAATTCATTTCAAATGGAAAATTAATGCTGAAAAATAGCCCTGAGCTCTCTTGTCGCAGCTAATAGCCAGGCAGCCGCAGAATAATTAAACTGTTTTGAAATGTCGATACCATCCTCGTCAGGAGAAGATGGGCATGGCTGAGCACATCCCGGGCATCAGCAAAGAGGATGGCTTCCAAAGAGATGGCCAGCACTCGGACTTGAGGTCAGCCACAGACTTCCAGGCGGGGTGAGGCCCAGGTCACCTCAGACAAGGCTGGAAAAGGTTTGTAATATGGTATTTAATGAAGGAAACCCCACTTCCTGGATATCTGAGCACCCCACTGACTCTTCAGAACAACCCTGCAAGTATCATTAGTATTATCATCATCATCATTATCACCATTGCCATTGTCAGTTCAAAAAGGAGATTCCTTGTGACTAGCTACCTCGTCTAAAATCACAGCCAATATGTATTAATAGCAGAGCCAGGATTCGAACTCAGGTCTGCCTGGCTCTGAAGTCCACATCAATTTCACTACACTGGGTGTTAGGATTCAGCATCAGGAAAAAGGCTGTGTGTTTTCTAACGCTGTCATTCTCAGTTCTGCCTGTGTTCAACTCACCTGACACCTGGCATGATCACAAGTCTCTGTAGCCTTGATCTCCTGGGCTCAAGCGATCCTCCTACCTCAGCCTCCAAAGTAACTGGGACTACACACCACCATGCCTGGATAATTTTTTTTTTTTTTTTTAGAGATGGTGTCTCACCATGCTGCTCAGTCTGTGGACATCAGTTTTTGTTTTGTTTTGTTTTAAGTTTCCCAGGTGACTTAACTGTGCAGCTCAGGTCTAGAACCATTAGTCTAAATCCCAGTTATCAGGCAGCTTTCATCCCATGAACATTCCCTGAAATTTTCCTGCTCACTTCCCCCGGGGAGTTTCACCTTGTGAAAAATGGAAGGGTGAACACTTCCCTTACAAGTTTGCAGCCAGGTTGAAATGAACTAAAAGAGACTAATTGAGAACCAGCACTTAGTACATGCTAAATAAATGTTAGTTTTGAAATGGGGGGCATCAAGAAGTAAGAACCCGAGATGAAAGTGTTATCGGAAAGGAGTCCTGATGCAGACCCCAAGAGAGGGTTCTTGGACCTTGAGCAAGAAAGAATTTGAGGTGAGTCCATAAGGTAAATTAAAAGCAAGTTTATTAGGAAAGTGAAGAAATAAAGAATGGCTACTCTATAGGCAGAGCAGTGGAATGGAATGCTTGACTAAGTATACTTATAGTTAGTTTTTGGCTATATGTTACCAAGGGGTGGATTATTCATGAGTTTTCTGGGAAAGGGACAGGCAATTCCTGGAACTGAAGGTTCCTCCCCTTTTTAGACCATATAGGGTAACTTTCTGAGGTTCTCATGGCATTTGTAAACTGTCATGGTGCTGGTGGGCATGTCTTTTAGCATGCTAATGAATTATAATTAGCATATAAGGAGTAGTAAGGACGACCAGAGGTCACTTTCATGACCATCTTGATTTGGGTGAATGTTGGCCTGCTTCTTTACCACAAACTATTTTATCTTCAAGGTCCTTATGACCTGTATCTTGTGCCAACCTTCTGTCTCATCCTGTGACTAAGAATGCCTAACCTCCTGGGAATGCAGACTGGTAAGGTCTCAGCCTTATTTTACTCAGCTGCTATTCAAGATGGAGTTGCTCTGGTTCAAATGCCTCTGACAAAATGTCTACCAAGGGTTGACTATAGCTTCTAACTCCTTTAAAACGTGGGACCAGGGTGGAAAACTAAATCTGAAAAGTTTAACAGTGAAGATGATCTGGCCAGAAGGGTTATGTTCCAGCGTGAATTCAGAATGTGGGGAGATCACGCTAGTTTTAGCACCAAATCTTACAGTTGTGTTTACAGTTACTTGAACTAGACTAGGAGTTGCCTTCGATCAGTGATTAGGGAGCATACTTTAATGAACTAGAAGAACAATTTGTAATCCATGAGTTGTTTATTATGCTGACAGGTACTCCTAAAGACCTTGAGAATGTTCCCTAAAAGTTTGTCCCCCAAGTAGATTTAAACATTCACCTAAACCTTATTTACACCCTTATGATTTTCAGAAAACACCTTCTTTATACATATGCAAAGATCCCAGTGCCCCTTTTCTGAATTGCAAATACATCCCAGTTTCCAAAGATCATCAGCAAAGCACCATCTGCTTCATTACGGCCAAACTCCTTAAAAGGGAACCCAGGGTCTCTAAGGGTGATGGAGGACTTGGGATGAACCACTCATAAGAAAAGCATCATCTTACCTTCTGGTGAAATGGTGCTTATAGTGACCACAGGGGATTGGCCGAGGCTGAGGGATTTTCCCAACGTTCTGAGGTTTTTTTGTAATTTCTTTGCCTGAGGACTTTCTCTGTCCACAGAAGCCACTTTGCCCACCTCTGTGGCAGGCCAGAAGTGCCATGCACACACCCAAAGCAGTTCTCAACCAATGCATGGTGAAAGTTGGTGGACAAATACCCTAACTCCCTCACCCTATGGGTGGAATAACTCTATGGTGTAGTCCATACAGACCCCCACAGTTCCCCAGCACGATTAAGCCTCAACCACCCCAGGAGTGCTAACAGGATGATGGCCTCATTATTGTCTATCTTCTCCTCCCTGTCTCACTTCCTCCCTCCCTTACCTGCATTGCCTTTATCTCCCAGATAAACTGCTTGCATTTGAGTCAATATCTGCTAAGACAGGGGTAAGAACAATACCTTTGGGACCATTGGGTTAGCAGCTGTGGTGGAGATCCACCCCAAACTGGTCCCTGTGCCTGCTGCATGAAAAGAGGATGGGCTTTTGGAGCAGAGATGCCTAAGCTCCAAATCTGATCCAGATATTTACCAGCTGTGTGACTTAGGAGAAGTCAGTGAGCCTCACTGAGCCTCTCTATCCTCTAGTATAAGATGGGAATAGTAATGGAAGCCACTGCAATGAGTTGTTGAAAAGATGCATTGAAATTCTGCAGACTAAGCCCATGGCACAAGCAGGTGTTTATTCAAAAAGTATTAGTAGAAGATTTGTTTCCTAACAGGCTCTGAGTGTGGCACAGTGGGGTGTGCAAAG